TTCATTGTTCACCATTAAATATAACATTAACTGTAGGTTTCATAGATTCTCTTTATCAAGCTGACAAAATTCCCCTCTTGTCCTAATTTCTGTTTTTATAATGAACAGATCTTGCACTGCTTTTATGCTCAAGAAATTTTTTCCTGCTAAGAGCGAATACTCTATTCACAACTATTTATTTTCTAGTTTTTAAGGTTCTTCTCCTCCATCCTTAGCTATTTAATATACCTAGGGTTATTGTGATGTTAATATGTACGCTCTTACTTCTGCTCTGGCAATAATGAAGGCATGAGGATTCCCCTGTTAAACAACTAGAAAATCAAAAGATATGAAGAGCCAATTTTCAAACATTACATAACAAAAGTAGTCATGGATCCTGAGAAAAGGGAAGCAGGGCTCAGTGGTCTCACAGAGCTTGGAAGGCAAAGTTCAGGGAGACCAGAGCAGTGAGAATATATAGGGAAAAATACTGGAAGGAAAGGAGCTTCACAAAGAGAGCTCCAGAGATCTACAGAGGGACCTCCTAATGTTGTTAATTGTGTTCGGATCTGTGCAGATATGGGATAAAACTAACCAGGGCCAGGAAAAGAAATGATAAAAGCATTAGGCCTGTAAATTCCTGGAGCTCACACATGGCTAGGAACAGTTCACATCCTTACCAGCCAAAGTGGAAAGACCTTGTGAAGCATCACGCAGAGTCCAGAGAAAGATGCTGCTTTACTAACAGGGTTAAATTAGCCACAGAATTAAAGTTGCTTTGGACCCACTCTAACAAACCTTAAAAACAAGCACTGAAGGATCCAACTGATTTCTGGTAACTTAACTGTGTATTAGAAAGAAGTCCAACACTAAAGTACTAAGACAAAATCTAGCATTCCACAATGTAAAACTCACAATACCCATCATCCAATCAAAATTTACCAGGCATGCATAAAGGGCAGGAAATGAGGACCCATAACAAGGAAAAAATATCAATAACTAGGAAGAGATCTAGAAGTGACACAGAAAATAAGATTAGCAATCAAGTCTGTTAAGAAAGCTGTTATAAATATGTCTCATATGTTCAAGAAGGTAGAAGAAAATATGAATATAAGAGAGAGATGAAAGACATAAAAAAAACCCAAACAGAACTTCTAGAGATGAAAATACAATACCTGAGATTAAAAACACACTGAATGAGACTTAGAGCAGATTATATACTGTGGAAGAAAAGATTAATAAAGCTGAAGACATAGGAAAACGATCCAAAATCAAGCATGATGGAAACAAAAGACTGAAGGGGAAAAAAAAAGAGGCCATATGTGACCTGTGGAACAATATAAAAAAATCTAACAAACATGTAACTGGAGAATCAAGAGAGCACAGAAGCTCAAGAGAACTATCTCATGAATGAAACAATGGGCAAAAACAGATCAAGGATCTAAGCTTCCACCTTAAGAAACTAGACAAAGAATGTCAAATCCTAAGTAAGCCATAGAAATCAATGAAATAGGAAATAAGAAAAAACCCGAACCACAGTATAGTTCTTGAAAAGATCAACAGTGTTGATAAACCTCTGATCAGTCTAATCAGGAAAAAAAAATTACAAAAAGGCCCAATTACCTATATCAGGAGAAGAACAGGACACATCCTTATAGATCTTACACATATTAAATAAATAGCGGAATATTATAAATAATTTTATACTAATATATTTGATAATGAGAATAAAATATGTAAACTAATTGAAAGATACAATCTATCAAAGTTCACTCAAGAAGAAATAAACTGATACAGTGCAATTCATGTTAAGAAATTAAATTCACAGTCATATAAGTCTTGCCACAAAGAAAACTCCAGGCCCAGATGGTATCACTGGAGAAATCTGCCAGACATTTAAGGAATAAGTAAGTAATCCTACACAAACTCTTCTTTACAAAAAAAAAATCAGTATAATTCACTAACTTAAGTCATCAAAACAGAAAAATAATATGATCAGTTCATGTGATTAACAAAAAGCATTCATAAAATCTCAATACCTATACATGATGAAAAACTCTCAGCAAAGTAAAACCAGAAGGAAGCTTCCTCAACTGAAAAAGAACATCCATGATAAACCAAGAGCTCACATCATATTAATGGAGAATGTGTGAGCAATTTCTACCTAATATCAGGAAAGCAAGGATGTTTGCTTTCACCACTTCTATTCAATATTGTGCAAGGAAGTTCGAGCCAGTGCAGTAAGACAAGAAAAGGAAAAGACCTATAGATTAAAAAAAGTAAAACTGTCTTATATAAATAATTTGAGACTGTCTACATAGCAAGTTTAAAGAAATTTAGTCTTAAAAAATCTGAAGGAAAAAAAAGAAAGCTACTAGAAGTGTGTTTAAGAAAGTCACAGGATACAAGATCAGAAAACAAAAATAAATTGTGTTTCTACACAGATAACAATAAGCAATTTAAAAAATTTTAAATATCACTTATGATATAAAAAATATGAACTTTAAGGATAAATTTACAAAATATGTATAACACCTAAATACTGAAAACCATAAAACATTGCTGAGAAACTAAAGATCTAAATAAATGGAAAGATAAAAATGTTAATGGATTGGAAGATTCAATATTGTTATGATGTCAATTTTTCCAAATTGATCTAAAGAATCAATACAATGCTAATCAAAATCCCATCAGGTTTTTTTTTTTTGTAGAAAGTAACATAGAGCCTCTTGATGAAAGTGAAAGAGGAGAGTGAAAAAGTTGGCTTAAAGCTCAACATTCAGAAAACAAAGATCATGGCATCTGGTCCCATCACTTCATGGGAAATATATGGAGAAACAGTGGAAACAGTGGCAGACTTTATTTTTTGGGGCTCCAAAATCACTGCAGATGGTGACTGCAGCCATGAAACTAAAAGACACTTACTCCTTGGAAGAAACGTTATGACTAATCTAGACAGCACATTAAAAAGCAGAGACATTACTTTGTCAACAAAGGTCCGTCTAGTCAAGGCTATGAATTTTCCAGTAGTCATGTGTGGATGTAAGAGTAGGACTTATAAAGAAAGTTGAGCACAGAAAAACTGGTGCTTTTGAAGTGTGGTGTTGGAGAAGACTCTTGAGAGTCCCTTGGACTGCAAGGAGATCCAACCAGTCCATCCTAAAGGAGATCAGTCCTGGGTGTTCATTGGAAGGACTGATGTTGAAGCTGAAATTCCAATACTTTGGCCACCTGATGCGAAGAGCTGACTCATTTGAAAAGACCCTGATGCTTGGAAAGATTGAAGGCAGAAACAGAAGGGGACGACAGAGGATGAGATGGTTAGATGGTATCACCAACTCAATGGACATGAGTTTGAGTAAACTCCGGGAGTTGGTGATGGACAGGGAGGCCTGGCGTGCTGCGGTCCATGGGCTCACAAAGAGTCAGACATGACTGAGCGACTGAACTAAACTGAACATACTGATTTTAAATTTATATGAAGGGCCCCAAATTACAAAAATAATTTTGGAAAAAAACATAGTTGAAGAACTTGCCTTACCAGATTTAAAGACAATATAAAGACATTGTGATATTAGTATAAGTATAGACACAAAGATCAATGAAACAGAACAGAAAATCCAGAATACACCCACCTATACATGGTTAAATGATTTTTCCATTTTCCAAAAGGGAAGGGTTGATTTCCAACCAACACACCAAGATAATTAAATATAACAAAATAAACTGGAACAATAGAATATCAATATGGAAAAATATTAACATCATCCTGATTCTGCACACCATATATAAAAACTAAAAAACAGATCACAGGCCTAAAAGTAAGAGCTAAAACCATACAATTCTACAAGAAGGCAGAAGACTTTGGTAACTTTGAGTAAGGCAAAGATTTCTTAAAAGCCCACAAAGAGAGTGAATCATTAAAGAGAAAATGATAAACTACACTTCATCTAAATGAAAAAAAAAAATTCTGGTCTTTGAAAGATGCCACTAAGGAAATTAAAAGGCAAATCACAAATTAAGAGAAAATATCTGCACAATTCATAACTGACAACTTATATCTAGAAGAAACGCTTGCAACTCAGTAAGAATACAACCAACTCAAGAAAGTGGCACACAGTGTGAACAAACACTTCACCAAAGATATCAGGTGACAAATAAGTACATGAAAGAATGTTCAACATCACTAGTTACTAGGGAAATCCATACTACACTCACAAGCTAGATACCACTACACACTCACTAGAATAGCTAAAATTAAAAAGACTGATGATGCCAAGTGATACCAAGGATGTGGAATGACTGCAATTCTCATACACTGCAAAATGGGAAGGTAAAATTATTTCAGAATAATCAATCTGCTTTCCAAAGTTGAAGATACACATATAAAACTCAAAAATCTCATTCTTAGAGATATACCAAAATAAATACAAATATATGTTCCAACAAAAGTGTGTATGCAAAAGTTCATAGCAGCTTGATTCATAATAGCTCAAAGTTGGCAGCCCAAAAGTTTCTAAACTGGTAAATGGAGAAATAAAATATACCCAGACAACAGAACACTACTCTGCAATTAGAAGAAAGAACTACTAATACACTCAACACATGCAAAAGCATTACACTTAAATCAATGAAGCCAGAATACAAAAGAACATGTGCAATATGACCCATTTATACAGAAAAGGTAAAGCTAGAGGGACAGAAAGCAGTTCAGTTGTTGCCAGGGCAGAAGGGGATTAGCAGCAAAGGGGATGTTAACTTTCTGCGATGATGGGAGTATCATGACTATTTCATGACTGTGGTATAATTATACAACTCTACATATCTGCAGAGCTCCAGTTGCGCAATCGGTTAGCACGCGGTACATATAATACATATCTGCAAAACTTACCCAACCATACACTTAAAATTGATGAACTGTGTATATCTTATACCTCAGTAATAAAGCTGATTTTAAAAATTCTGTTACGATCTCTTTTCTGGGCTGATGGTTAACAAAGAAAGAAGAAAACACTGTTTACCTTCCCAGTCCTCCATATAAGGGGCCTCCTCAGCTTCTTTCTCTGGAGTGGATCTATCAATGAATTTCCCTTCTTTCATGACCCTGGTGATTTCTCGGAGCTGATGCAGCAATCGTTTTTCTTGGTCAGAAGTCACAGTCTGTGCTCTGCTTACAAACAGCAGACAATCCAGCTAGTTAGTAGTAAATACTCCTAGGCAATGAGCATAAACATTACTATGATCTGTCTGGACTCTAGAATAGGAAGTTCAATAGCAACAGATAATTACTCTAGGAACTGATTCTGGAACTGCATAGATGGGGACCAGAGATGTTAGTTCAATGTTTTGATTTTATAAATAGGAAAACTAAGGCCTAGAACAGAGCAAGTGATTGTCCGAGGTCCCAGAATGATTTAATGTCAGTTCTGGGACAAGACCCCAGATGTCTCCGCCTTCAGGTTCTTTCACAGTACACCTCACTGCCCCGATTCCCTATCCTCAAGCGGTTTCACCATTACTTACATTACTCCATTTACTACAAGCCACTTTTCTCTGAAGAAATGTCATCAAAAGAAAATGTGCTGGACAACTCGCCTCAATGAGGGAAAAATATGCTACTAGGCCAACCCTAGAATTGCCAGGCTGAACCTCCTTGTGCAGAAATAAAGACATATCCTAAAATGTGAGAGCTGGATCATTCTGACAAATCATCTAGACCAAAGGAATTGGGGAAACTGAGGCCCATGGAGAGGAAATTATATATTTATTCACATTGTTAGTTAATGTCAGCACTCTACCTAAAACTAGTCTCCTAACTTGTAAAAGCATTCGGTGCAATTCCTGAAGCACAGAGCTCAAGTTCCACAGTTTAGAAAACCTGGATGTGATCCCCTCATCAGCTGTGTTGGCTCTGGGGAAATGCTTGCATGAGTAAGATGAGGCTCAAGGATATTACGTGACTATTGGAGAGGGAAGCGCTGCATCGTATCGACAGGCAGGCAAAGCCCCACTCAGAACACTGAGAATTGTCTGCTTTGGGACCAGTTTTATCTACTGGCAGGATTTAACAGAGGCTACTTATTCTCTTAAAACCCCAAAGCACTCGAAGTCAATGTAACACTCATGAAGATGAAGGAAATGATATATTCTGTACCAGCCTCACGGAGGTGTCATCAATCTTTCCCAGTCCCAAGCCTATGTTTCTTTCCACATTTAACCTACATTATGTTACCCTTAATGACTGACAGGGAAGAAGAGAAAACTGCTTCTCCTGTCAACATTAAGATGTTAGCTGAGGAAAATGTAGGTGCAACATTTTTACAATCTCAGTGGGAGGAAAATAAAAACCCCAGGAGCTCCACTTTTTCTACAATAAATGGTCTCAAAGCTATGAACTGAGGAAAGCCTGTCTGTCCTACATGCATGTGAACAACTGCTTGATACTTTCCATCAGCAGAGGAGTCCTGACTCACCTTAACTACTCATCTGTTCTATAACCCCTAACTCTTATTGTTATGACAACTCATTTTGTGGGAGGCTTCTGGGGTAGCTGGGTCACCCTTAGCTCCAAGAACCTATGTGATTATCACAGTATGTTGCACATGTTACTTCTCTGGACTGTACTTAGTACATCCTGAATTTTACTGAATGCAACAGTCTTAACTTTGTTTTCTAATTCACGGAAAATCAGAGCCCTTAATTAAAAGGGATATGGATAGGCTAAGAAAAGCAGAAACAGAAGAGAGCAGCTTTCTTAGAGAATTCCAAACTAAAGTGTCCTCAAGTGTACTCAGTGTCTCTATCATGCATTAGGCAATTAATCACGGTCCACTTTACATCTTCTGAATTTACTGCAATAAGCACTTTCATGGATTCCTCATTGTCTCAATTTGGTTTGATAATCCTGGATGTCAGAGGTAAGTTCACTACAGTATAGGCACACTGCCATGAACACTTTAACTGCCCAATAAATGTGTTAGCTTGACTGGTCCCCACTTCCTCACCGTCCATTTTCTTCTACCTCCCTGAAATCTGGCTGCCACTCCATCATTTTACCAAACCTTGTGAAAATCAATGACCACTTTTTCCCCTTTTGTCACACAGCATACAGGACCTTATTTCCCCAACCAGGGATCAAACCTGTATTCACTGCAATGGAAGCATGGAGTCCTAACCACTGAATCACTAGGGAATTCTCCAACGACCACTTTACTCTTAAGTCCAAAAGTCTTTTTATCACATTTCATTCTTCTTCACTTCTCTGTACTAAGTCCATCTTCTCCTTGAAATGTCCTCCTCTTACAATATGGTTTTCCTGAAGGCTCAATCCTAGGGCTCCTGTTTATCCACTCCTATAGGCATGTACTCAGGAAGCAGAGCCAATTCACAGACTAAACCATCACTTCTACATACATGATGTTCAGACTCTACCTCTAATCTTGACTTCTTACACAAAGGCCAGTCTCATAACTCCAGTCACCTCCCGGGCATTTCTACTTGGAGGCCTTGTCACTATACTAAAGTTAATCTTAAATTCACCCTTTAAAACCATGTCCTAGTGGCCCAGGATCATTAGTAACTGCATGAACAGGTAAGCTAAGTGAGGTTGGCTATGGCTGATTCCAAGACATTAGAAAAATAAAAGGTCAAGTTGGGAGATAACTCAGACCTTTGAAGGCTTCACAACTCTGAGGAGTCATCAAGTTCTGAATCCAAGAGTTGCACAGAATGAAACAGTTTCTTACAACACCACTCAAATGAGAAAAGAAATCAGACCAGCAGAAGACTGCTGGCAATGGCCACATGACATAACATGCTTCAAGGATTTGGTAATCTCATCTTTTCCTCCTCTTACTCCCAGCCAAATGGACACTTCCAAACTTGTGTCCTTTGTTCTGACCACAATACCCCAATTTACTATTGCTGCTATATATCATACATGGACGTTCTGTTTTTTTCTTTTCAAGCATATTATTTTATATTGGGGCAGAGCCGATTAACAATGTTGTGATAGTTTCAGGTGGACAGTGAAGGGACTCAGCTGTACATATATAATACATGGATGCGCTGATGATTCTTCAACCATACTCAAAGCTGAACTCATGACTCATATTGCAAAGCCTTATCTTCATTCTTCTGTGCTTTATCTTGGTTGATGCCATAATATTCCTACCAGTTTGGGCTGTATTCTGGATTATCTTGGAGGATACAATGCATTTATGAAGGTCCTTAAAAGTAGAAGGGGGAGGCAAAAGAGGCTAAAGTCTCAACTCACTGTTGCTGGCTGTGAAAGTAGAGGAAAAAGTTCATGAGCCAAGGAATACGGGCAGCTTCTAAAATCTGAAAAAGGCAAGGAAAGATTTTACCCCAGAACCTCCAGAATGCAGGGAAAAGTCTGCCCTACACCTTGATTTTAGCCCAATGTAGGACTTCTAACACACAGAACTGTAAGATAACCATGTATGTTGTTTTAAGGCATTAAAGTCAGGTTAATTCATTACAGCAGCCACAGAAAACTAATACACACTCCTAGAGCACGTCTTTTGTCTCTGAGATGCAGGGCCTTACAGAGAAAATAATACTTGCAAATGACAACCATAGAGGGTTGTACAAATCAAAATAGGTGCCAAAAATATTCTAATTGTTGCTGAAAACGTCTGCTTCAAAGTACTTTCTTTACATCCACCTCATTCATTCTTTTAAGATGTGCAGACACTGTCAAATGTGCCAGCATTAGGAATGCAAGTCTGAATAATGAAAATTCCCTGTTCTCAAGAAGGTTATAAGGCATTAGGGAAGACAGAAAAGTTAATAGAAGATAAGGAAGTAACATGATGCTTACAATATCCAGTACATATAGGTGGCCTGGGAGCATGTAGGAGGAAGATCTAACCAAGTTGTGGGTCCAGGGAAAGGCTCTCAGAGGAAACGATGACTAAGTTGAGACCTCTAAGACAAGTAAGAAATAAAATAAGTGTCTGTGGGGAGGTGGTTGGGGGCAACAACCAAGCAAAGGAAAAAAGTATATGCAAAGTCCTAGAAGCAAAAATGCACAGGTACTTCAGAGGAAAAGCAAGTACTCAGTGTGGCTGGATCATAGACATGGAGAGAGAGTAATGGGGAAAGATAAAGCAACTGAGGTATGCAGAGCCCAGACTATGTAAGTCATGTAAAACATTCTACTCTTAATCAAAAGCAACAGGGACATAATGAAGGGTTGAAAGAGGTAATCCACTGGTTTGGAAAGCAGAAAGTGAAGCGAGGCAAATTAGAGGAAAGAAACCACATGAGATAGTTTTGACCTATGTCAAAAGTAAAGGCATTCTCAGGACTTCCCTGACAGTCCAAAGACTCCATAATCTCAATACAGGGGACCCAGGTTCAATCCCTCGTCAGGGAACTAAGATCTTGCATACCACACAACATGGACCAAAAAAAAAAAAGACACCAATTTCTTTAAGGAAAAAAAGTTAAGGCATTCTCCATTTGCTCACTCATTCTTCCATTTCAACTAATACTTTTCTAAAGCCTACTACTGTCCTTGTGCTAGGCACCAGGAATACGAAGGATAATTCCTGCCCCGCTAGAGTTTAGAATGTTTTGCAGGGAGACACTTATTAACCAAGAAGAAATGACAGGACAGGTAATTAATGAGATATGAGAAGTGAAGAAAAGATGAATCAAAGATGACATTTAATTTCTCTTTTGGGCAACTAAGTAGCTGGTAGAGCTGTTTACTGAGATGAGGAACATTACGGTAGAACAGGCTCATCTGTGGGTAGATGATGAGCTTTGTTTTGGATGTTCATTCAAAGGACATTTACTGTCTGATGAGGAAAAGAGCAGCTATCTATGTGACATGTCCTGTAGAACCCTGAACACAAAGATCAGGAAAGGAAGAGAAGGATGTCAACAGGGAGGAGGTAGGATTTACTCTTCTACCATGATAAGTACAAATGCTTACCTCAAAAGTGACTATATACTCTTTCAATGGCAAGTATTTACTTAGTACCTGCTATGTGAACGCAGTGGACAGACAAGAGACTAAGCCTGTCCTCAAAGAGTTTATATCCCAACGATGCCTGCCAGAAATGTGTAGTACCACATACATATTCAACATGCCTGCCAAGGTGTCTGCTGCCAGAGGTTGCACCCTCATGTCTCCTCGTAGGGCACTCCATGCTTCTAGGTAAATAATTACAGCTGCACATGTTGCTCCAGGAAGGAAATTTTGCTGATCACAAGGACGAAATAAGGACACCTCAATTCTGGTTCCAGATCCTTTCCTTAGTCTTTGTGTCCTGGGACTAGAGAGTTTGCTTAAATCAGACATAACATGGCATAATACCAACCTTCTAGGAGGCCTTATTATTTTTAAACGTGTGCAGACTTATATTGCTCACAGGTGAAAGCTTTCTGAAAAGTTTCATTGGGTAGTATTATAATATTATCCCATATTCTTTCATAAGCACTAAAATAAAGTATTAGAAATGGCATATATTGGGAATTTTAAGCAAAATCTTACAGTTAGGGAGTGATATTATATAAAAGGACTTGGAAGGCTGCAAATGAACATGTCTTCTTTGTCTTAAATCCTCTCCTTGACCCCCAGAAGCCTGGCAATGTGACAAAATCTTGATCTGATAGAAAAAATACTGGGTTATTTTGGGCTCTTCTAATAACCTTAGAAGCACAGACTTGTAAAAGAACAAATGCTATAGAAACTAAGGTTAAAGGATTTAAGTATAAAAAGGACAAGAATATAAAACATGTAGCTACCTAGCCCTTGCAATTTTGAAGGTGTAAGACCCATAGGGCCTACCTATAAGGATAAAAGGTTTTAGATTAAGGAGTTTCAGAGAGAAAGTCACCTCCTGTGGACTGGAAAATGAGATCTGGGAAAGGGAGACACAAGCTATGCTCTCTTGAGTGAAAGGAGAGCTGATCCCTGGTTCCTGACAGGTACTATGGAAATATTTTACACAATCATTGCCATGCGGCAGTGCAATCCATGTGTTCTCAGAGAGTCCCCGCTCCAGCACCTGACAAGGAGTAAATAATCTGACCTAGGGCCTATTGCCCCAGAAACAGTGATGAGGCACAACTCCATATGCAATGGTGATGGCAGGGTGGTGGAGGAGACACACAACTTCTCTGCTTTTGCACATGAAATGTGGAGACGCAATCCTGGCTGGCACAAAGAGGATACACAGTAGTTAGGAATCACAGTACCACATCCCTAGCTTGCACAATGGACAGATGGGATGCATGGTAGCATTATGTGATCTGAGCTAGGGGAGTCTGAACAGCAGTGAGTAATGTCTTCAGATATTATCAGAAAATATCTTCACAAAGTTTTTTATCCCAAGGCCCAGTAATTGGGTCCCCCAGGTGGGAGGCCCTGCCCACAGATACTCTCCGATTGTCTTCTGACCCTTAGGTGTTGCCTAGGGCCCAGGCCAGGGTACAATATTTTCTGAGGCACAAGGATCTATAAAAGTCTGGTACTTGCCTACCCAGACTGAGTGGTACAGGGCAAGGGCAGAAAAGGCCAGAAACATATAGTTGCACAAACTAGTTTAGTCACACTCATACGAAACACTGAAATAGATAATGTACGTAAAGTATTTAGCTTAGAGCTTGGTTCTTAGTGCTAATAACACCAAAGAGTATTACCCACTCACACAGATATATTCATGTAAAGATAAGAACACCTATCTTGACTGCTCTGGAGAAGGCCAGATGGTCACTTTGCTTTCTGGACCGACAGAAGGTCAAGGGTGCTGGGCCCAGAGAGGCAGGGATCACTCTTAAAAAGGTCACTTCAGCAGCAATGTAGACATTGCAGGGAAAAGCCAAACCAAGGGACTATAATTTAAAAATGTTTACTCTTTTTATATCCAGCCAAAGATGGGCAAGGCAGGAGCCAGAAAGCAGGGGAAAGAGTACGGGGCGCTAATAGCACCATGGACGGCAAACAGAAGGGGCCAAGGTAGAGCAGTTTTCTGAGGCAAAGACTCTACACTGAGCCCTGGGTCTACAGGAGGGACCTTTCAAGACATCCTCCTGCATGGGACCTCCTGCATGCCATTCACCCCAGTTCCTACTCCATCCTTGTCAGAAGGCCTAGCATGAACCGAATCCCTCTTTGTCCTCAATCTCATATTCTGGTTTATCCTCTCTAGCCTTCCTACACCTGTGTTTTCTTAGCTGATGCCCACTTCCATTAACCCCCAAAGCCACCGTTTCAGATCCTCAGCCAGCCTTGTAGCGAGAGGAGTGTGTCTTCGCCGTGGGGCATCCTAAAGGGCTAGTTTGGCTCCTGACACCTACTTCACACATCCAGTTCTGTTCTGGCACAGTCAACATAAAACAAATGCCTACTTTGAGCATACTTGGGCTCCTTGCATTTTGTCTCCAACAGAAAGCACAGCATTTAATAATCTTGTTTTACTTAAGATAATGCCATTCTTAGACAGCTAGGAAAATGACTTCCTTAAAATGCAGTCGTTTTACCTTGTGGCATCCACTCACAAATTTACTCACTCTCACAATAACGTTGCACAACATATAACATATACTCTTGAAAATGACACTTGAAAGTGTGAAAATGGAAATGTTAAGTGAAATATGTAAATGACTAATATGATAACAATGATATAAAGTGAAAGCAAGTGGGCCAGAAATCAAAGAAAAATAAAATTTTGGATTAACTCTCTAAATGGGCAACAGTCTGATTCCTGTTATGTGAAAACATACCTCTCACCATTAGGCCCCACTCTGTTGATTAATTTTTCCATGGCTTCCTCTGTTTCCTTCAGTTTTTCTTGCAGTTGAACAAGCTCAAAATTGGCTGAAAAATAAGCATCAATCTGAGAACCATCATATACAACTCCTTAAGCTCTTTTCTGAAACACAGCTGGCTGTGACACCCTACAATAATCCAGGCTGGTCCTGAGACTCAGAGAAGAGACTGACAGTCTCTGCAGCTAATCCAGTCAGGACACAAAGGGTACTGAGGTCTAGGTACCAAGATCTAAAGGATACACGTTTAGAAACTGATGAATAAATCACCCTCTCTTACACACAGAAACACAGCAGGACCCGCCAAAGAAACACCTACAAGTGAAAAACACAGCCCTTACACAGTCAGCCAAGAAGAAATGAAGATAAACATCATCTTTCTAATTCAAATAATACTTGAGGATGAAGTACCAAATCTGGTAAAGGTCTTCAGAAAAGGTATTAAAAGTCTTGAAATGAGCACTAGTTCATCTGTGCCTAAGATCTGAAAACATAACGAAGATGACAATTTAATTCTTCAAAAGGAAAATACTTGAGCTAGGGCTCACATTCCTGGTCCCAGGTTTCCTACTTCAGTCGTCTGTGGTTGAACTGGGTAACCTTGCCCCCAGTCTTCTCAAAAAAGGTCAGAAAGGAGCACATCTACTGAAACTAATGTTAAGGTCCGAAAAGTAAAATAAAAAAGTAAATCACTCAATCAGTACATGAAATAAACTTTAAAGCAACAGGAAAATAAAATGTTGTTCATGTCTTTCTGTTTCATATCTGAGCGTCATCCTACACAGATATATTTAGAGGGTCACTATAAAATATAACATTTCAAAGGCTTTTTAGTACTTTTATAACATATTCTTCTGCATCCAATTAACACCTGTGCCACGTAAATGCTTGGGTTATTTTTATTGTGTGTATGATTCAAAATCAAAGTGGAAAAAGTTGACACAACTGCTACTATATCATAAGACAGCTGCTCTTAGGAATTCATTTTATTTACTTCTTTCTGTTTTAAATGCATTATGTGACATTATGAATTTGCTACTCCTTAGCTCACAAATATTTTTTAAAAATTTTATGATGTGTTTACCATCACTTTTGGTTAGACACTATCTCAATTAAGAATACAGCAAGGATTGCAGTCACTTGAATCTGAATATTTAAGATTTCAGGATGCAGAAGCCACTGGGATATCTATTTTCACAGTGAATCCAGAGTAAATGCAAACAGCAACTATGGCTGAGGGCAGATGCTTTAGTGGCACAGACTTTCTTCATTTTGATGATGTCTTTTAAAAAAACCTCTGATGAGGCTTCGCTATCCACAGGATAGTTTGGCCTCCAAGGCCTTCAACAATACAGCTTAACTGACCTACTCTTCATGCCTTCTTATGCACAGCTGCCCTGTTTCAGGCTGTGTCTTACTCAAGCTCCCTATCAGGCCTCCTCCACAGCTAGACACTATTTCCCAGAAGGCTTTCACCAACTCCCCTTTTTCCAGGCAATAAACTTTTCACCAGTTATATTTTCCTAACATTCATCCTAGACTATAAATTCTCAGAGCGAGGAGCCATGCCATATACATTTCATTTTTCCAGAGAGCACAGAATATGCTAGTTGGTCCATAAATATTTGATGATCATGTTTCAAGAGTCAGAATATTAAACTCTGTCCCTAGATCTAATAACTGACTTTGGCAACTGACTTGATCTCACTGCCTCAGTTTTCCTCTATGTGAAATAAAGAGATTTGCTGCCAATACTCTGAAGTCTGGAAATGACAAGAAACCCGTCCTAAGTGTAAAACATTAATTTGTAATATATGTTAACAAAAAACTGAACTGATAGTTCTGTACTTTTCATAACAGTCTGTCCCTTAAAAGCCCAATATCAACATGGAAGCTTTTCAGAATTCCCAGTGTGTGTGCATTAATCACTCAGTCGTGTCCGACTCTTTGCAACCCCAAGGACTACAGCCCATCTGTGGAATTCTCCAGGCAAGAATACTGGAGTGGTTTGCCATTTCCTCCTCTAGGGGATCTTCCTGACTCAGGGATCGAACCTGGGTCTCCCCCACTGCAGGCAGATTCTTTACCATCTGAGCCACTAGGGAAGCCAGCTAAGGTAAAAACACCATCATATTAAACTGGGACAACTTTTGAGAAATGCTTTTAAGGCATATCCACAGACTGTCACTCTGGCTGCTTTACAGCTGTCTGACTCAATGAAACTTATGAAATACTGAAAGGGCACTTACTAATTTTCCTGTGGGTATTTCCAGGGGTGGCAGTAGGGTACTTCCGATCCTCTGGAGTACTTTTCCCCCTTGAGAGCTGAGAAGTGAAGGAGGTACAGCACATCAACAGCAGCTGAGAACCTCAAAGTCACGGAACCCCTCATATTAAATGGGGGAAAAAAAAAAAGGGTTGGGAGAAATCAAATCAAACAGCAACATCAGAGAAACATCTCAAAAAACAAAAGCCAACAGAAGGTTCCCAAGTAAAAAATTACTGAGGCACAAGAAAACACTCTCTTCACAAGTCATGTGCTTTGCCCATGCTCATTGAAGACTCAACCTGGGCTGCCAGTAGAATTGCTAGGCAGGGGAAAGGTGACCTCGTACTCCAGTTAGGAGGGCAAAGTGAATCTGCTTCCTCTGCTTGCAGTGCTAAGGCCCATGGCCTGCCTAGACATGGAACTTAATTAGGAGTCTACTTTCAAAAGGACCCAAATCATGTCTCCTCAGATCTAGGAAATATCAGGCTTAGTTTCAGGATGTGGCAGTTCTGTTTCAGGAGGATCACTACTATTAGGATTTCCCTGGTGGCACAGATGGTAAAGGGCCCACCTGCAATGCAGAAGACCTGGGTTCAATCCCTGGGTCAGGAAGATCCCTTGGAGAAGGAAATGGCAACCCACTCCAGTAATCTGACCTGGAGAATTCCATGGACAGAGGAGCCTGGCAGACTATAGTCCCTGGAGTCACAGAGTCAGACATGACAGTGAATTACTACAACCGACGTGGTGTTGGCACAGTCACTACTTGGCCTCACAGTGATTGCCTGGAAATCACAGTGCCAACCCTAATGATAAAGTTCTTCTCAGAACATCTTTATGCCTTTACAGCTTGCAAAGATGCCCAGTCAAGAAAAAAACCAGGTAGGGCAGCAAGAGGGCAGGCTTTGAACTTTATTGCTCAATAGATTAGAAATTAGAAGGATCCAGGTTCAAGCCCTGCTTCTACATTTTTAGTTGTGAATTCTGGGGCAAATTATTTGGGTTCTGAGTGAAGATTTTCTCATCTATGAAACTGAGATAACAGCTATCTTAAGTATCTTCTAAAGAAGAGGCAAAATTTAAAGAGACGGTAGATTTGAAAAAGGGCTCCGAAATACAAAGGGTTTTAATGCTGACAATGATTCTTATTATGATGATAATAGATTTTCATTGATGTAATACAATCAGGATGATTCCACTTACCTTAAACAGAATGTACAGTATATATAAAAAAATTCCAAAACCATAGATGGGAATAATTTGCCCCATCAGGCCTCTTCCACCACTTCCTCCTCCAGCACCTCCGCCTGATCCCTTGGCCTTTGCAAAGGCTTCTGCGAGGTGAGACCTCTGGAAACGAGCCCCAGGGGTCTGGCCATCTGAGGGTGCCTGCTGCTGATGCATCACAGGTGGAAATCGACCCAATTTCCCTAAGAAAATAGATTAATCAGTCTTTATTTCTTCTACTATTTTAAATACAGCTATTTTGAAACATGTCACATACTGAGATACAAATAACAGAAGCCAACTCAAACAAGTTTAAGAAAAAACTGGAACTTAGATTATAAGGATATACAGGTATCACTAGAGTATCACACAGATAATAAACACTATGTGGCAATCTCTAGCTGTTCACCAAACCCATTTTCTCTTCCTTTTTTGGTCCACAGGTAGATGACATTTTTCAGCTTCCCATACTTAAATGTGGCCATGTGACTGAGTCCCAGGCAAAGCAATGTGAATGACAGGTGCCAGTTCAAGGCCTGGTCTATACAACTTCTCATGTATTGAATTCTGTGTTCATTTCCTTTCTTCAGGCTTGATGCTGACACCGAGGGAGGCATTTGGGAGTCAAGTGTTGAAAATGGCAGAGCCTCTATCAGCCCAAGTTCCTGAATAACTGTGTGGCACAGAGCCTTCCAGTGTCACCATCCCACCAACTTAGCACCATCTGGACCTGTTCATGTGAGTCAAAAATAAACTTCTATTGTGTTAGGGCCATGATACACTGTGGAATCTATCTGTTAAGAGCAGTTAGCCACTCCAACTAATACATGTAAGGAAATGCAATATACATAATTTTGGTTTCAGAAGAGAACACAACTGGAAATTGGAAAGCCATTGGGATTCAAGACAGCTCCTCTCACACTGTACCTCAATCATTCTCCCTCTCTGTGGGGCCAGAGGCTTTTTCCCTGTTACTTTGTTTCTTCTCTGTTACTTTGTTACTAGTTTCTCCTTGAACATGAAGATGTTCACCCCAAAACCCTTCCATTTGCATGTCCTTCAAGGGGTCAGCAGAGATTGGTCATAATTCCACATTCCCTGCAGGAAGATTCTGAGGGCTCAGCTTGGGTAGGTATGTGGCACTTTCTAATCAGCTGCAGCTGAGCAGACAGGATTCATGTGCTACAAACAGGGTCACAGGAGCTCATCTCTGTGGGTGGAAGAACAGGGCTTAGAGAAAGGAGCACACATCAATTTTCTCACACTGTTTTCCTCCGTTGGGGCAGCATTAACACCGTCAAGCCTCCTCCAAGTCATAGGTGAGAAAGAAAGGAAGGACATCTCTTCAAAAGCCATGTAAACAGGCTGCTGTGGATAAACCACTGACAGAAAAGACTAAGGAGCAGAAAGACTTCCTGATTCAGGCTCTGAGAATACAGACTATATGGTAAAAAAAAAAAACTGGTGGATTTGATTTCAATAAAATGGTTGATTTCTGCTCAATAAGGCATACCATGAACAGGGTTAAGATAGATGACAGACAAGGAAAAGCTTTTGCAGTATCTAAACTTGACAAGGGATTAAACCTCTGGAATAGACAAGGAATTCCTACAATTTGATATGAACATCAGGAGAAGCCCAATAGAAAAATGCCCAAAAGATATGTGTAGTGAACTCACAGAAAGAGAAGCTCAAACAGTAAACAAGTATATTAAGAGATGATCAAAGTAAAACCAATGAGAAAAATACCAATTTAAACAATGAGATAGCACTATACCTATCAGAGGGGCTAAAATCAGAATGGTGGGTAATAGCAGGTACCGGCAAGATGTGGGAGGCAAGCACACTTGTGCACTATGGGTAAGAGTGCAAACGGACGCAGGCATTCTGTTAGGTGATACAGCCGTACTTAGCGATGTTAAAGGTATATCCTACGATCCAGTGATCCCACACTGATGGATAAGTTCCAGACAAATTCCCAGATAAGGCTGTCTAAATCTGAATTCAAGCAATAGGCTTTATAGACCTGTGTGAGAATGTTCACTGTGATGATGTTGTAGTAGGCAGCCTGAAGGAACTTTGATCTCCGTAACTGTTAGAATGTAAAATCAAAATGGAATAGATACAAACATGGAATTCCATGTAGCTTTCAGAAAACACACTTTACATGAACCTACAGAAGCATGAACATATTTTTAAAAGCACAGCACTGAGTTAAACAATAAATAAGCAAATACCATGTGTAAGTTAGACACACCATAATTATACTACATATCTTTCAAACAAATATGTAGGCATAAGAACATAAAACAGACACATCAGAGTGGGCGCATGTGAACAGGAGAAAGGAACAGGCATGCAGACTGAAGGTAAAGGATTAAAAAGAAAATAATGGAATAAGAAAGCAAGCTTGCACTGATGATGTTAATCAGGTGTGATTAACTTAGGACTATCTTTAAGTCAACTTGCTGCTCCTGAGGTGAGAGAGAGTGGGCGGGCAGGCAGAGAGTGAGACAGTGAGCCACTGGCCAGGAGCTGCCCGCGGCTTTGTATCTTCTCTCAGACAAGCTCCACCCCAATAACCCTCTTTTCCCTCCTGTTAATGACTTTGGAGGACATGGAAATTATGAGAAGAAATGCTTCTTTTTAAGAGGAGGTCAGCAACAGAAGCACAGCTTCAGACAACAGACGAAAGACAGCAGGTCACTACCCCTCGTTCCGGGTGCGGTGCTCATGCACACACTCGCTCAGTCGTGTCCGACTCTGTGACCCCATGGACTGTAGCCTGCCAGGCTCCTCTCTCCATGGGATTCTCCAGGCAAGAATCCTGGAGTGGGTTGCCATTTCCTCCTCCAGTTGATCTTCCCAACCCAGGGCCCAAACCCAGGTCTCCTGCATTGGCAGTAGATTCATTACCACTGAGCCACCTGGCAAGTTTATTCTGGATGCTGGTGACTGTTTTGCTACTAAACTGTCAAGGATCTTAATAACTTAAATAGTGACTACTAGCTTTAAGGCTATCATGCACTTTGAACAAATACTTAGCTAGCATCCAAAAAGCTAACCATCTTCTTGAGTGAATCTGATATATTTGGTGGTTAGTGTAGATTTACTATCTGTAGTAATATGTTGTTGAGTTCCATCTTACTGTACTGAGAACACCATTTTCAAAACTTTGCATAAAACAAAATATAAAAAATTAAAACCAAGTAATGGCACAAAAGGCATTATTTTGCATTTCTAAAATTGAAAAATGATGATGATGCTAAACATCACACATTTCCCTCCCCCCAAAACTTATACAGCTCCATCAACCAAGAAGATGTACTGGACAGCTATTATTACTCTGTACTGTAGGTAGGAAAGGAGGAGAGCCATAAGTGAAACAGAAACAATGGTTCCCACATGAAGCGAGGCTTTTAAAAAGTAGTATACCCAAAACAAACAGCAAAAAATGAACAGAGTATCATGGATCTTATTACCAGACAAACTAAATGTCTAAGTACTGAAAAGAATGCCAAAAAAAGGAAAGGAGTCAGATGGGCTCAATCGCTGGAAGGAATGCGACTGAGAAGAGAAGAGGAGCAAAAGCACAGTAGGAGAAGAGGAGCGTGAGCAATGAGAAAAGGACGAGAACAAAGAAAGAATGAACAAGGCCAACTACCGCATCCTCTCAGGGAAGTAACAGGAGACAAGGAAAGCAAAGCACGGAGATTAAATGCTAACTTGTGTCACATGAATTTAATACTGTGGGTCTAGGATCAGGGAAGTGATTTAACAAGAAGGGTGTTTGAGGGGGATCATTCTAGCAGTTGAGTAAAGACCAAACACAGAAAGAAACTAGGGTCTAGAAAATCAGCAAGAAGACAGCTATACCTATAGAAAGGAAAGGATGGATCCAAGGGCTTTTACCTTGTAATGATCTGCAGTATTTAACAATGAATGAGGAGCGCAGTTAAGAAAACTTGAAGGTTGGTTTAAGATACCAAAGGAGAACAACGAGGAGAACTGAGAGGGCTTGTGGTTAGGGGAAGACTGAACACCTATTTTCACATGTTAAATTCTAGGTGTTGGAGGCACATCCAGAGGAAATATTTATTTGATTGTAGTTAGGCTTGAGAAGAAACTCTGAGCTATCTAAATGACATAGCTAATAAATAAAATTAAGTTGAGTGAACAGTCCCCATGCCAAAAAAAGGTGGAGGGATATGTGAAGTTATGTGCAAAAGGAGCAAGGAAAAAAAAAACCCTGAGCTGGTCAAAGGCGGCCAGAAGCAAACCAGTATCAGAAAAGTCAAAAGAGGATAGACATGAAAGCAACTGAGAAATCTAGAACAAACTGATAAAAGACTAATAGTAGCTATCCCTGCTTTTAGACACAACGTATTCTTGGGAAAAGGATGGCCAGCATATGAAATCCTGACTGTCCATCTGTTTCGATAATAATGGCAGTAACAGAAATCAATATGATACAAAGGATCATAGAAACTTCAGAGTCAGAAGGAGCCTTAAAAGCCATTCAGTCTTTCAAAAAGTGCTATGAGGACAAGACATCCATAGAAAAGAATGAGTTGGACCCCCTGCCTCACACCACATTAAATTTCTAAAAATTAACTCAAAATAGAGACTTAAATATAAGAGCCAAGACCATAAAAGTCTTAGGAAAAAAACATAAACATAAATCTTTGTGACCTTAGATTAGGGAACATTTCCTTAGATATGCCTCCAAAAGCACAAGCAACCAATGGAAAATTAAGTGGACTTCATCAAATATTAATGCTTTTGTACTGCAAAGGACACCATTAAAAAAAAAGTGAAGACAATCCACTAAATGAAATAAAACATCATATCTCATAAAGGTCAAGTATCCAAATATATACGAAGAAGAAATGTAAAGTAAATAAATCTACAATCAGATACAACTTTATACCCACTAGGATGTTATAATCAAAAAGACAAGATAATAAAAAGGGTTGGTGAGGATGTGGAGAAAGGAACTATCATACTCAGCTGGATGGGAATGTAAAATAATGCAGTTGCTTTGAAAAAGAGTCTGGCAGTTCCTCAAAAAGGTAAACAAAGTTTCCTTATGACCCAGCAATTCTACCCAGCCTCTTCAGGCTGCTGCCGCCAGAATGCCACCAAAATGTGCTTACACAAAAAATTATGTACAAATGTTTAAAGCCAGCATTATTCATAACAG